GAGAGAGAGAGAGAGAGAGAGAGAGAGAGAGAGAGAGAGAGAGAGAGAGAGAGAGAGAGAGCGGCAGTCTTCAATAGCTGGTTTGATCAGGAAACGTACTCGAAGCCGCTCTAAAACTTGCAGTCATCATCCCCTGAGACGTCGTGTGCCTATTCTGCACCGTCATCCACATCGTTTTCTAGGTCCACCATCATCACCGTCAGGCCATCCCAACCCACTTCCAGGAACATGTTGTGAATCCGCTGAATGATTTCTCTCATGGCTGGTCTGGACCCATACTCCTCTTGAACGCATTCCCAAGCCAGTTGGAATACGCTCATCACCATCTTCTTCATCGACTCTCCAGCCACCTGATCCCACAAGCACCGATCGAGTATCGGGTTGGGCATCTCCATGCTCCCGCTCTGGATGACTTCCCCTCGAAGGAAAGCCTTCACCCACTCGACGAGCGTCTGCCATCCCAACCCGGAAGGAGCCGGCGCGACCACCTTCCTGCCCGTCAACAGCTCCAGAACGAGTACCCCGTAAGAGTACACATCGTTCTTTTCGGACAGCTCTCCTCTCAGCATGTGCTCGGGAGACATATCCCCCGAAAGTGCCGCCGATGTGAGAGGTCAGCACGACGTGGTCATGTCCTGTGTCTAATACCCTCTCGCAGATGGCTGCTAATCCGAAATCCGCTACGACGACGTGAAGCTTCTCTCCAGATCCATCGCCGAGCAGAATGTTGCTGCTCTTGATGTCCCGATGGATAATCGGCGGCCTGGCGGCGTCGTGAAGGTAGCCGAGCCCCTTGGCAACCTGGAAGGCGATGCTCATGCGCTCCAGAAGCGTCAGCGGAGGGGATGGATTCTCTACACTTTGGTACGTGTCCGGCGCTTTTGCATCCTTCCCACCGACGGCCTTGGAGAACAGCCGCCCGTGCATGTTGCCTCCTCTGAAGAACGGGTACACCAAGATGCTTTGATCGCCCGCAACGCAGTACCCGACTAGTTGTACGAGATTAGCATGATTGAGGCCGCTGAGGGTGTTCACCTCGGCCACAAACTGGCTCCGTTTGATGTCCGTTAGCTCGCCCGTCATCACCTTTACTGCGACCTCCTTGCCGTCCAGCGAGCCCCTGTAAGCCTTTCCAAACGCTCCTTTCTCCCCGATTCTTCGACCCTCGCTGAATTTGTCCGCACATCCCGACAAGACTCTGAAAGCGAACTGCTTGACCCGGGACGGCTTAATTCCCCACGTGTCCAACGCTCCACCTTCCTGTATAGATGAACGCCGTTGTTCATCGAGTAGAACGGCACGCTCCAGACCTGCTCGTCGTCGGCGCCATAGGCAAATCAAGCTGCCAATGATTGCCACGGCTTCCACGCCCACCGCAATTGCTACCAGACCCGCGATGACAGCCCCTCCAAGAGGGCTACCTCCAGAAGATACAGGAGCATTGTGCTTGTTTCAGCCCCTCCAAGAGGGCTACCTCCAGAATATACAGGAGCATTGCTTGGTTCTGCTACTGTGCTTGTTTCTGCTTCTAGTGCACAGTCTCTTCGGGACCTGTTGAACTGCACTTCAAAAAGCTTCCCGTCCTCAGAGCCCACGTACAGGTACCTGTCGACCCCTTCATTTTCCATCAATGCCAGTCCCGTCAGGTTAACCCGTGAATAGGACATCACCGCCATGGGGTCACCATAAGCGATTGAACGACAGGGTCTGCGGACGTCCGCGATTTGAACCAGGAACCCTGTCGTCAAGAAGAGCCTACACCCATCCCCTGTGGCCACAACATCATTCCCGTATTCGAGTTTCCTTTCACCGCCGGAAAATAAATGTAGCCTCGTGGGTTCATTAAAATTATCGGACGGGTGAAACCCCCATAGCTGCTCCGTATCCGGCTTCCCGTAATAAAGGCAATTGTTCACAAAGCCTTGAGATTGGAATATGACACTATCAACTCCGGCTACGGGTAGGATATCGGTTTCTCTTGACGTCGGAAGTCCCGAGCTATCGGCACGAGTCCATGAGATTACCTGGCGAACAGAAGGAGAAAAAATAGAATAAGAAAAAACTGCATAAAACAGGAGTTGTCCGGAAGGATCCAATGCGATTCTTCCAATCCAGGAATCCTCCCTGGAGGACGAAGACGAACGACGTGAGGAGTTGGAAATATACAAAGACGTAATGTCGAATCTGCTACGATCGTTAGAATCGGGGGAGGGACGGTAGGCTACGCCCAAGATGAGATGGGAACCATCTTTCGAAAGGGCCATCTCCATCACGGAAGCCGTCGAATCCGGTCGTTCTGCAATTCTCGACCCGTTCCGCTGGTCGTAAGACCACAAGTAGGTTAATAATGTCGATTCGTCATCTGGCGAGTCAGATCGCAGGGGCGCCCTCGACAAATTGGCTTTCCTGATCGACGTCACGTCGCCGTATGAGCAGTTCTGGCGGAGGACATAGTACAGCTCTTTCTCTGGCGAAAACACGAGTTGGGAATTACAGACTGACAATCTTTTGTTTGGGGTGGATGTGAAGCAACGACCCGTATCGAGTTGTTGATCAAGAGGTCGCGTCCCCACCATTCCACTTGAAGAGATGGTGGGGCTGCAGATGTGGGCGCCTGCAGAAGGCGACCAACCACATGCGCATCGGAATTGGAAAACACAGCCGGGGATGAGAATCTGTGAGACAGTCCCTCGCCCGTGAGCACGTGGATTGGACTGAAGCTGGAGAGCATGGCAGCTAAGGCCAGAAATAAGGAGAAGATGAACACGTGCACCAAGAGAAAGCGCACGTGACGACTTCTAATGTCACAGAACGCCGCACGGACATTCCTTATCTCGAGAAAACGCATTCTCTTCATCGAGCCGCTAGGCGTCTTCCCGGGACGTAGAACCGGGAAAAAAAAAAAAAAAAAAAAAAAAAAAAAAAAAAAAAAAAAAAAACCTATACAAAAATAAGAAGAATCCGGGAAAGACACCCTACGCACGGGAATCCCTGGTCTAGATCGCTTCACCTATTAGCTGGAGGGCATCGGACAAGTCACCACATCAAGTGACCTCCCGATCCACACTCCTGAGTCCTGAGCCGTCCCGCTATCAGTGTTTCGCACATGCAGCTGGCGATAAACGGGCCGAGGGGCTGTTTTGCCCTGAGCCGTTAATTGCCACGTTGGCACATCAGCCCATGATTGGCACGACGAACGAGAGGAAGTTGGAAGTGAAGCTCTTTCTATAATTCTATCTAAGCCTTGTAAATGGGACGCTGGACCCGGGTTCAAGCAGGTGCTGCTCCCCACCAATAGACGGAGCCTGTGTTAAAAAAAAAAAAAAAGGTTGAAAATTGAACTATCCACGAGAGCTGATTAATGAGAATTCGACGTTCTTGCCAGGAGCTAACAAATGAGGAATCAACGTTCTTCCCCACCCAGCCGTCCGTCTCCGTCCTTTCCCGCTGCTGTGCTAGTGACTTATAGCCGACTTAGTGAACTATCGTCGCGGGCTGATAAGTGAGCAATCAACGTTCTTYMCCCCCCCCCAGGCGACACGAACTGATTAATGAGTAATCAACGTTCTTCCCCACCCGGCCGACACGTGCTGGTTAATGAGGTATCGACGCTCTAACTGGGCGCTAATGAAGGACGAATCAACATTCTTCCCCACCCAGCCGTCGATCACCGTCGTTTCCCGCTGTTGCACTGGTGACGTCAAACCTACGAAGGAAACTATCGATACGAGCTGATTAAAGAGGAATCAACGCTCCTGCCGGGCGCTATTGAATGACAGGAATCAACGTTCTTCCCCTTCCTGTCGGGCGCTACTGAATGAGGAATCAACGTTCTTCCCCACCCAGCCGTCGATCACCGTCCTTTCTCGCCGCTGTTGTGCTACTCACGTCAAGCCGACGATAATAAGGGTGGTGACGGGGAGGTGAAACGATGACTCGTCATCTGCTTGCCACGGTAAAAGGGGCATGACAAGTGGCAGATATATGTTCTTCCTCGACGCAAGAGCTGTTCCGACATGGAACGGCCAAGGCTTCCCTTCGTCAGGCCGTGCATTTTTATTTTTATTTTCTACAAATAAGGCCCGACATGGAACGGCCAACCAATTCAATAATTACCTGTCAAATCTGAACAGGATGGCCTTTCAGGCCTTGTTATTACCGTTATAGTATTACGGGAACGGGAAACCGGTATCAGCAGCACTAACACTGCTGCCTTTCCCGCGTGGGAAAATAGGGAAACGGGCAGTTTTCCCGAAGTCCTGAATTTTCGGAGGTCAGGCCCGCCGACGACTGCCATTGATAAATCTGATAGGCGGGCGTCGTTTCGTTTCGGCCTCTGAAAAGGTCGGACGCCTACCCGAGGCCGGCTATTTTCCCAAGCGGCAAAGGCACTAGTACCTTTCCCGCATGGGAAAATAGGGAAAACTGGCAGTTTTCCCAAAATCCTGAATTTTCGGAGGTCAGGCCCGCCGAAGACTGCCATTGATAAATCTGATCGGCGGCCGTTGTTTCTTTTCGGCCTCTGAAAAGGTCGGACGCCTACCCGAGGCCGGCTATTTTCCCAAGCGGCGAAGGCACTAGTACCTTTCCCGCATGGGAAAATAGGGAAAACTGGCAGTTTTCCCAAAGTCCTGAATTTACGGAGGTCAGGCCCGCCGAAGACTGCTATTGATAAATCTGATCGGCGGCCGTTGTTTCTTTTCGGCCTCTGAAAAGGTCGGACGCCTACCCGAGGCCTACTATTTCCCCAAGGGGCAGAGGTAAAAAAAACAAAACAAAAAAAAAATCAGGAGCGAGGCCCCAAGCCTCCAACGAGGGGAACATGCAGGGGCTGCACTCGACCTCCAGATGGGCGATACAGACCAGGGGCAAGGTCCCACTTGCACGGATTAAGAGATTCTGGCCGTTGATCTTTGCAATCTACGGTCAATGTCTCTTAAACCACCAGTACTTGGGCGCCTTAGCATTAACGCAACCAGAATTTCGCTACCCGCGGGCCGTCGATAAATCGTATCGACAGCCCGTGCCGCTTCAAAAAAGGTGCGGCCGGCGCGGCGCGCAGTGCCCAAGTACTGGTGGTTTAATTCGTGTAAGTGGGACCTATCCCCAGGGGTCAGGCGGTAGCGTCAGGACCAAGCTCCTTTGATGGGCCAGTCCCTGTGCCTCCCCTCCGGTCCCCTCCCCCTATGAACAGCGGCAGTCTCTGCTCAATGCCACTCGGGGCGACCAACGACCTATCTCTAGGTGGCGAGCACGGTGCATATTATATCTACCCGAGGCACCGGGGGCCTCGGTCCACATGCCAGAGGATAGTATAGTTTACTAGTCTGTGTGACAGTCGAAGGCGGGAAACGAACGCGATTCAGCATGTGCGTTTGCCGCCCGGGTCTAGGTCCGCTGCTCTTCTCTGTGTGCAAAACCATCGTCCATATAGTGCAGAACATGGACAGATACACCTCCACCATTTATTATTATTTTTTTTTCGGGAAACGGACCACGCACCACTATTTTCGCCTTTTTGCACATCCACGGTAGTGGGGCGAGGCCCTTTGTGTGCAGTTGGGCGTCTCTCCACTACTCTCCACACGCACAAAAGACAAAAAATTGTGGCGGTGTATCTTTCCATGTTCTAGCTGAAGATTCACTCTCTTTTTGCACATTTGGATAGTACTGGAGCCAAAAAACTGTGGCGGTGTATCTTTCCATGTTCTAGCAGAAGATTCACTCTCTTTTTGTACATTTGGATAGTACTGGAGCCAGGCCCTTTATTGGACGGACCTCCTTTGGGTGTAGGCGCAGCCAGAGGACGGCGGCCCACAGAAAACGAAAAAACAAAAACTCCCACTTTTTTTACTTTTTTCCCCCCCTTATAGCCTCAGGTGAAGACGAAAAGAGACCTACAGCCTTACTCTGGCACCACAGCTGACAATATATAGCACTTACCAGAGGGCCTTCCTCGTCAGAAGCCGCCATAAACAGCCTCGGAGTAGCCGTAAGACTCTCTGGGCCTCTCTGCACTACTCTTGAAATGCACAAAAGACAAAAATCATGGCGGTGTATCTGTCCATATTCTAGCGGAAGATTCACTCTCGTTTTGNTGGCGGTGTATCTGTCCATATTCTAGCGGAAGATTCACTCTCGTTTTGCACATTTCAAGAGTAGTGCAGCGTGGGCCTCTGTGGGTGAGTAGTGCAGCGAGGGTCTCTGTAGGTGAGGAGAGTAGCCGTGTGAGGAGAGTAGCCGTGAGACTCGCTGTAGGCGAGGAGGCAAAAACGAATAGGCAAAAACGAATAGTATTCTACGGCAGAAAAAAGAGGTTAGTATTCTACACCGTATTCCCTCTCCCTCCATTCCACACGGGACCCCTAAAGCAACTAAGAACCAATGACAAAAGGGAGCTTTAAGGCTCCCTGCCCTAAATGGCGGGATGGATAATCCCACCGTCCGTTGAAAATGCAATCGACAGTTCCTAACAGTCCCACACTGTCACACGGACTAGTAAACTATACTATTCACTGGCATGTGGGCTACTCCTTTTGGCTGGCGGGCCGCCGGCTAATTTGCTCCCAAAGTTGGGCTGCATGCAAGCCCCATTTTCTTTTTTCATGGCGGGGAAACATACTTGTGGTGGTGGACTCTTGGCGCCAAAAAACAAGAGGATCCGGTGCAGTCCTCCTTTTGGCTGGCACCACAGGTTACTCTGGTGCTGCCGCCGAGCCGCCA